AAATATTTGACACAGCATAGGTTTCTGACACAGAATGAATGTGGTCTAAGAACTTATTTTTTTTTAATTTACCTATTATGGTCCAATTACCAAAATCTAAATACATGGTTAGATTCAGAATATCAAAGAATCCAAAGAATTCAATTTTTGATTAAATCAAACAAAGTTTAATTTTGGACCCCAACTTGAAAACTGGGCCCATAATCAAAAATCTAAACACATGTTTAGATTCAGCATATCAAAGAACCCCAAGAATTCAATTATTGTTAAAATCAATAAGTTTAATTTTGGACCCTTTGGACCTTAATGTAGACCAATTTAAAAAACGGGACCCAAAATTAAAAATCTAAATACACGGTTAGATTTGGCATATCAAAGAACCTCAATAATTCAATTTTTGATGAAATCAAACAAAGTTTAATTTTGGACCCTTTTGACCTCAATATGAACCAATTTGATAGCGGGGCCCACAAATAAAAAATCTAAATACATGGTTAGATTCAGCATATCAAAGAACCCCATATATTCAATTTTTGTTGAAATCAAACAAAGTTTATTTCTGGACCCCAATTTGGACCAACTTGAAAACTGGGCCCAAAATCAAAAATCTAAATACATGTTTAGATTCAGCATATCAAAGAACCCAATATATTCAATTTTTGTTAAAATCAAACTAAAGTTTAATTTTGGACCCTTTGGACCTTAATGTAGACCAATTTGAAAACTGGACCCAAAATCAAAAATCTAAATACACGGTCAGATTTGGCATAACAAATAAATAAATGTGGTCAATGATTTTACAAATCTAATGCGCCATACTGTGCAATTAAAGATTACTTCTTGAAATTTTTCAATATTTGAAATTTGAAAAAAAATAATATTTGAAGAATAATTCTTTTTTATTTCTGAAATCTGAAATGAGAAAAATTTGATCCCCCACAATTTCATTTTACCCCCCCCCCCCCCTTTTCCCCCAAAAATGCTTTCCCTCGAGATATGGTCATAATCTCAATTCAAATTTCCAATGGAATTTGCAACCATAATTACCCATTTAAATTTACCATAGTGCTAACTTAATCTATTTTATAATAGAATTTAAAATATGGTGTCAAATCTTTCATATGGATTTTTTTGTAAAAAAAAAAAAGATGCAACATTTGCAGATATTTTTACTGGTCTTCCTTTATAAATATGCATTTCTTTAAACATAATTTAAAAGCAGTGTAAGGGAAGTAATCAAAACGTTGCATTTGGATTACCTCCCTTACACTGTTTTAAATTGTCTTAATTGTTAAATAACCATTACTTTATACATAATTTAAAAGCAGTGTAAGGGAGATAATTCAAATGATGTATTGGATTTATCTCCCTTACACTGCTTTAAATTATGTTTTGTACTAAAGTATTTGTCCATGAACCAGGACAACTTTGTTTTATCCCCTAATTCCTAAACGGTTTGAGCCATAACCCCCCAAAGCAAATCCTAACCATCCCTTTGTGGTATGGAAACTTGTGGTATAAGTTCAGAGAGATCCATACACCGTTCCACAAGTTATTGTTTGGAAACTAGAAAATGCTTATTTTTGGCCCCTTTTTCCTTAACTGTTGGTACCATAAGCCCCAAAATTAATCCCAACCTTCCTTTTGTGGTATTTAACCTTATGGTAAAATTTCATAGAGATCCATTCACTTAAACTAAAGTTAGAGTGTGAAAACCAATGTGTCTTCGGACGACGACGCTCACGCCAACGTCATACCAATATTCTTTTTGCGGTCGTATAAAAACTCAACATTCACCAATGAACCATAAAAATGATGCCAGGGTCAGATGAAACCTGCCAGTCAGACATATTCCCCATACAATCATTCTAAACACCAATTATAGTTGACCTACTGCCTATAATATTTGAGAAAGACCTAATTATGCCACTTTCACCTCAATCACTGATCCATGAAATGTTGACAATGTAGACTTTGCAATGATCCCATTTACCAAATATAGTTATCCTATTACATGTACTCATAAGCGAGTACTTAACACTACAATTTTGTTTTCAAGCAGTTGCTGAATTATGAATAAAATGCTCCGCTGGGGCGCAGCTTGATACCACCGCAGAGATCGAACCCTGAACAGTTGGGGCAAGTATGGACACAACATTCAAGCTTGATACAGCACTGAATTTGGATTGTGATTAAATATTTGACACAACATAGGTTTCTCACACAGAATGAAAGTGGTCTAAGAACTTAAAAAATTTTAATTTACCTATTCAAACCATATCATTATTATTTGCTTTTATATATAAATCAGAAATAACCAATTTAAAATGGAAAATTTTAAAGAAAAAATAGGAAAAAAAAAATCCCCCCCAATTTTTTGAACCCCCTTATGATTCATCACCCCAAAACTCAATCCCAGCTTTCCCTTAGTGGTATGGTACCTTGCAGTACAATTTCAGAGAGATCCATACACTTGAACACAAGTTGTTGTCTGGAAACTAGAAAAATGCTTGTTTTTTTGCCCCTTTTAGGCCCCAAATTCCTAAACGTTTAGGGCAATTACCCCCAAACTCAAACCCAGCTTTTCCTTTGTGATATGGAACCTTGCAGTACAATTTCATTAAGATCCATACACTTACACACAAGTTATTGTCCTGAAACTAGAAAAATGCTAGTTTTTTTGCCCTTTTATGGCCCCTAATTACTAAAATTTTGAGGGAATTACCCCCAAAATCAATTCCAGCCTTCCCTTTGAGATATGGAACCTTGTAGTACAATTTCATAAAGATCCATACACTTACACACAAGTTATTGTCATGAAACTAGAAAAATGCTTGTTTTTGGCCCCTAATTCCTAAAATTTGGAGGCTATTACCCCCCATAATCAATCCCAGCATTCCCTTTATGATATGGAACCTTGTGATACAATATCAGAGAGATCCATACACTTACACACAAGTTATTGTCATGAAACTAGAAAAATGCTTGTTTTTTGCCCCTAATTCCTAAAATTTGGAGGCAATTACCCCCAAAATCAATCCCAGCATTCCATTTATGATATGGAACCTTGTGATACAATGTCAGAGAGATCCATACACTTACACACAAGTTATGTCTGGAAGTTACAAAAATGCTTATTTTTGGCCCCTAATTCCTTAACTGTGGGTACCATAACCCCCAAAATCTTTCCCCACCTTCCTTTTGTGGTATTGAACCTTATGGTAAAATGTCATTGAGATCCATTCACTTAAACTAAAGTTAGAGTGCGAAAACTAATGTGTTTTCGGACGCCGACGCCAACGTCATACCAATATACGACCACAAAAATTTGTTTGCGGTCGTATAAAAATGAATTAAAGGACAATGGACATATGACAGACAGTATTATAGGGAATCTACATACAACATATGAAGCACCTAGGTCTACTACCTTCTGAAATATAAAGCTTTCTACAAATTGTTGATGACTACGCCAATGGGTAGTAATCCTGGTTTTGCATTCTGTGACAGGTGAGACAAACAACCATACTGCAATATGTTGCATTCAAAGATATTTACAGTACAAAGAAAAAATCTTATTAGTTTATTTCCTTTTGAAATTACGTGCAAGCTGACTACTGCATGTGTTATATCAGTCTAAATATGGCTGAGGTTTACTGTTTTAAAATGAATTGTGTTGATTTAAGTAACTGTGGATTCATTTTTATTCGTGGTATACCAATTTTCGTGGATTTCGTGGGTCACAGCGAACCACGAATTTAAGAATTCAACGAAGAATAATCCCGAGAAATGTGTATGGAGTCGGATGTTTATTTCCGGTTATGTTATGCAGTTCAAGTATAGTGTTGACTAGCGATAAACATTGTTACATAACACATGTTTTTATTGAAAGAAGATACAAGTATTTTGATTAAATCAATAATAAATATATCGAATATCAGTGATAATTTACTTTTTAAAATTGAATAAAACTGTTCATGGAAAATAACTGCAAGTTGTTAATTACCGTGTCATAGTGTGGTTTACTGGTGATTCAAAATCAATAGGATTAAGTACGTGGATATTGCCCGTAGGTAATATTGTTTATGACAGGAACATTTATTTTCACACCTTTTACTTATATGACTGTTTATTATATCGTGATTACGGAAATGAACTTTCAATCATAAGAGTCTTGAATGCCTTATAAAATTACGACAAGAATTTATAAATTGTAAAACAAACAAGTAATTAGTTGTCTCTGTCCAGTATTGTAATAGAAGTTTTTAATGAACACTTTAACCTACAATGACCAAGCCAGGATTTTGACAATTCAAAACTTTTTCAATGAATTCCTTCTTTTTTGTTTGTTTTATTATTGATCAAACCAAAGAGGTTATACGATCTCCTAAATTAAAAAGAAATCCACGAATTACGTATCTGATTTTTTTTTTCTTGTTGTAATCAGCGATCCACGAATTTACGTATACCACGAAACGTCTTTTTTTCTCTATCCACGAAAATAAATGAATCCACAGTACATTCCACATAAACTTATTGATCAATTGAATAAACTTATTCTTAAGTTTATCAATTCAACATTTCTATCTTTGAAGTTAAATTTCACAGATTTATAGGGCCAATATTGACCCTTGAGAGACCTACTCTTTCACATGGCTTACTACAATCCACAAAATGTCATTGGAAAGGACGGAACAAAAATATAAAAGTATATTTTTTTACAAAGTTTGAAGTGAATTTAACAAAAGACAAAAACATTTGGTGGAGATAGGCAGACATGTTGAATCCTATGTACTGTGATTTCATTATTATTTCAGGTATACTAATTTTTGTGTATTTTGTGTGTAGTTAAACCATGAAATTATATTTCAATGAAGCACAAATTTTCAATAGGCTTGTATGCTGTCTTTGGGAAAACCATGTAATCAAATATCCAGGAAAACAATTGAATCCACAGTACCTGTAAAATATCTTTGCAGAAGTCAAATAATAATACTTAATAAGTTGTTTTTCTATTTTATTTCTGAACTTAGTAGTTTTCATACTTAGTTATTGAATTGTTAGAATGTTCATATTGGATCCTAGTTCCAGTTGTCAGCACTGCTGCCACCCCAGTCGGTTGTTGGTGCTGGTGGGGCAGGAGTAGCAGACCAGTCGTCGGCACTTGCAGACCAGTCTTCAGTGGGTGCAGGGGCTGCACTCAGGTCAAATGGAGCAGCAGTTCCTGCTGCAGGTGGAACTGCAACAGCTTCTGTGGCCCAATCACTGGATTCTAGGGCAGGAGCCAGAGTCTCAGGTTGTGTATTCCATTGATCGGGAATGGTGGCATCATCTTTCTGTGGTGCTTTCTCAGCAATAGCCTCAGCTTCCTTCTCAGCCTGTATATGTATAAATATATTATATTTACATGGAATAGAAGAGGACATATTATGCTTAATTGAAATAATGAAGAAGGATATTTACCATGAATAAAAGACAGATATTAAGACATGCTTAGGGCTTTTCCAGATTTAAATGCAAAAAGGGGGGCATAGGAAGCACTCTAGTAACTAGTAAGAATTATAAGTGAAATGGAAATATTATATTATGGGTGGTCAGGGTCTAAAAAAATTGCCTCTCATCCCCCAATGGGTTTTAATCTCGAACAGCCCATTCATTATTAGCATGAAACATTAAAAATGAAGTACTCTTCACTTTATATAGTAATTACAAGGCTCTTTCTGTAAAACTGTTAGACTTTGTATATTAAAAAAATTAAGCTGACAGATAGGCATTAAAATTTGAGATGGAAATACATAAAAACAAAACTATTGAAAAATTCTACCAAAAAAAAACCCATGAGGTTTGATCTTTACAAGTTGTGTGCTGGCAGTCTTTTCTTATATTAGGTGCATTCTTGACCAACAAAACTATTCATGTATGGTATCTCACAATAATCTTACCTCTTCTGGGTCTCGGTAGAAATAGAGATCTACCATGACATCCCATGGATGGTCACGACTGATGGTTCCTCTAAGTCGAAGAACTTCTCGTGCCAATAACCACCACATTAGACCAATAGAATGGGTTCCCTAAAATATGCATTTTACAATTAGTTCTGCATTCAATTGTTTTAGCAAAGCTTAAATAATTTCAATTAATTTCTTCTTAAAATGGTTAAAAATGACAAACTTTCAAGCCTGGTTGTAAAGAGCAGTTCATGCAAAATTTATAATGGCAGGCCATAATCTTGCCGGCGAAATGACGATTTAAGTCGCCAAAGAATTTTGAAAATTGCTAAATCTCGCCGGCCGACTGACTTCATAGCGAAGTCAAATCGCTATCAAAATCGGTAAAAGGGAGACAACTTGTGATTGACAAGTCTCACAGGTAAATAAAAATGGCGGCTGACAAGGAAAATCGAGATTTTCGAAACGACCCAGGACTAATACTGTCAATGATCAAATTAAATAAATATAACGGCGACTTTGAACATCCTCGGATATAACTTTCAAAACTGTTCAAACGGAAAACTGACTGTCTGTTTAAGTTATCATTTTACGATAATTTTCATCTGAGGATGTTGCGTAATCACTCAGCTGATTTGTTTTATTTTTACAACTTACACGAGTCGGTCAATTTTACTATTCGGTAGGTAAAAGGTTGGAAGTAACGGTAGATTTATTATATTGATTGAATAAAAATTGAAATATAAAAGGTAGAAAGACTGATGATGGATAATGTGATGGCAAACGTACGACACTCGACCAGGTGGTGATCAGCAGTGGATTGTTTCTCACGACCATTTCGTTGATATGGATGATATTTTTAAAAAATGATAGAAATTAGCTCTTTGTCGGATAATTAATATGCGATTGAAAAATATTTTCATTTATAGACTTACAATCTTTTAACGATAATCTCAATTTACAACTAACATAATGTCCTGGACATTCAATAATGTTTTACAAAATAATGACAAGTGGTTATATTTTATCTGGACTTTTAAAAATAAATTGAGGCAGATGCACATGAATTTAATGCATCATAATCATGATAATATTACTAGGCTACACCCTCATGTCCCAATCAACAAATTTTATTTAGAACACAATGGTATCAATAAATAAATAACAACTATATATTGTCTAAACCTTTTTATTAAGAACTTTCTATATATACATTGTGTACAATAACATATGAAAAAACTGCAAGTATATCTTTTATTGAATATAAAACAATTTCCTTAGTGATAAGCATGAAAACACGATGCAACCGAAACGGTAATGGAATCTCACTTCTCCAAGAAATTGACCACTTCTCCCTTCTCTCTCTTGGAAGGAGAAGTCACTTCTCCCTCTTCAAAATCCTAGATTAGGCCCTGTAATGGGTTTAAGCATTTAAAGATTTAATCTAGTCCGGCATGTTGCCTTTATGTGAAGTTGAAACAAAAGTAGATTAGAAGACAAAATGTGTTGTACTATGGCAATACAAACCTTGTTGTTACATGGGATACCAACATCAACATATCTGAGTGGTGAATCAGTATTGCACAGGGCAATAACAGGGATGTTGACATAGGATGCTTCAGTTACAGGTTGGTGATCAGTTCTTGGATCAGTGACAACCAGTAAACGTGGTTCTCTGAAAGCAGCCTGAAATTACATAATGCCTTAAAACTCGTTGCAATTTTCATTATAGCTCAAAATGCAGTTATTTCTTAACTTCAGGACTTATGCTTTAACTGTGTTCTTGCATTCCGTCTAGTGGGAATAATAACATATTTGCCAGTCTTAAAATAAACCTTCCTGTTGGCACAACAAACTTCAGGAGAAATCCTATTCCTTTCAATTTCTATTCATACTGTAATGAAGTCTTTATGAAACTATTTGAAATTATTTTGATAAGGGGATTCCAATTTTTGATACTATGCCTCAATATCCTAAACTATGATTTTAAGAACTCACAAATATGACAAACTAATGAATATTTTCACAATCCACAAAAATTGATATTTGAAAAAAACTTTTAACGTTTACAGTACATTTGTTGTACTGTACTAGTCTAATTTTTCCTTTTTTCAGAAAAAAAAACAATTATATTTCAACTACACTTTTGATATTCACAGTTTTTTCTGGTATTGCAATGTACTATATGCCAATTCAGTCTTCAGATCAGAAAAATTAATGTGTCTGTATAATTTTGCAAAAGTTGCAAATATTTGATAGGTAGGTAATGTTGCTCAAATTGCCAAAACTGATTGATCTGGAAACCTGCAAATCTTTTGATTTTCTTTTCCAAATATATTCTATGATGTGGATATGCAGTTATTGCAAGTTAAAGCAACTTAGTTGTACCTGGATCTGATTGGTGAAAGTACCAGGAGTAAATCTACCAGCAATGGGTGTGGCTCCAGTGGCAGAGGCAAACTTTAGGACAGCTCTCTGTCCATAGGGTCTGGCTGAAATGACACATACATCAGCTGGGTTCTCAATAGCAGCAATAGCTCTGGCAGCCATAAGGAGCTTCTCCCATGTCCTCCTCAAGTTAATTATGTATGTACCTATAAAATGAAAAGCTTTATTCACTTTCTTGGTATATTGCCAACTGTCAGTATGTGTCAGTATGTGCATTTAACATTTAGTCACCGAAACATATTGCTTTATTTGACTATCAAAATAACTAAATACTTGTAGGACAAAACTACTAAAATATCATATAACTGTCAATTTCCTAGGTTTTTCCTTTTTAGTACTTTTCAATTATTGGGACCAAAGTACTAACCTATAGCAGCCTTTACATAGATAATGAAAGCTGTTAATTGCTTTGGTTTCATTATATTAAATTCATAAGGGTTTCATCTGAGCCTTTCACTAAGGAGTTTTATTCATATATTCCATAAAATATATTCAAATCTGACAACGCCATCAAAGATTCAAAAACTTCCAATATGCAACGTCAAATGAAACAAATGATTCATAAGAAAGTAGAAAATAATCTTGATTAAATTTTAAACAGGACTCTGGTCTAGATTTGTTTACCCTGCTTGAATATAAAAATAAAAATAACTTTCGACAGGATTAACCGAGGTCAAGCTACTACCAAAATACTGAAAAACAAATTTCTATCTCTAATTGCTATCAGTTGATCATGAAAACAAATTGTACAAATTTGTATTAATTCCTTGTAGAACTCTCATCTTAAGGTCACATTTAAACATCACTCATTGCACACAAGACTTTGAGAATTGTTATAAAAATATTTTTTTTCTAGGGATAATCCTTAATATGTTCATTTTGCCGACAGCTTACCATCAGGTTTTCGTTTGTAAACATACTGTTCCATCTGACAATCCACATTACCAGATCCTAAGTGAGTGGAACATGCTAAAAACTTGGTTATATCTTCCTCTTTCAGGGCGAGTACGTCTAATCCTCCGGACATCGTGGCGTTGATTTATGAGTTACGGTAACCAACGCTGAAATACAAAGTTCAAATTGCTAAAACATTTTGTACAGTACATGTATCTGTGCACAAGTACAGAAATTTGGTGTTAGAGGTCACCACACTTGTATTGTTGATGATTGGTTATCAATTTTATTGCCTTGCAGTCAAACATCTTATTTGCTATTGGAACCCCCCTCCCCCCTTTTTTTTTAAAGATCAATGCTTTTGAATGGGGACATATGGTTGGAACCCCCCCTCTTTTAAAAATGGCTGGATCCGCACATGCATTCAAATAGAAAATTGAGTGTAATTCTTGCATTGGTGTTAGTGTATTTGGGTAGATTTTCAGATTCCAAGTGATTTTGTAAAGAATATTAAGTTGGAACAGGTTTTGGAAGAATCTCATTAATGGGTATTATCCCTAGTGATGGGTATAATACATTGTATACCAAAAATTAGTTATCATTTTCAGTGATATTAAATAAAATTTGAATTTTTGGACATTGAATTCATTCTTACTTTTGAGACCAGGTTCAATACTAGCCTGGGATCCTGGCTTACTGCACGACAGTAGAGCCAGGCGGAATACGACGACATGGTTGCATCAATTGGATGTTAGAATGATGCATCTTGGGATAGCATCATTTCTTGACACATGGCGGTAAATATTTATATTGTCACGAATTCATTGAAAATTATTTTTCATTTCATTATACGAAATGCAAATTTCGAAAAATTTAGCATATATAATTGATTAACATCGTGAATCAACTGTTAATGATCTGATCAATATATTCCTTGTTTATAGAACATGCACATGCGCAGTAATTCAGTCCTGTTTTGCACTGATAGTTGGTCACATGGATTGTATTACGCCTGGCCCTATCGACGAAGTATTTGATTAGGTCAGGATGCCAGGCTACAGGTTCAAAAGAGAATTGAATAATAGTTAATGTCCTTTAAAGTTCAATTTGTTAAGCCCATTAACTTTTATCAAATCGTATTTCAGAAAGGGAGTCTGGGCAAAATGTAGTCCTATTAATTATGACGTCTTGGAAGGCTATTTTAAATTTTTGCTTTGATGCCTTCCTACGATTAAGGCGTCATAGAAAAAAATATAATAGCCTTTCAAGACGTCATAATTATTTGGACTAGGCAAAATGTTCATTGTTGCCCATCATTATGATGTTTGCACCACGAAAACGCATCACACAGGGGACAGGTGGGTGGTTCCGAGATATATTCTTTACCTCTGCAAAAGGAGGAGATCGGTACAGTTTGAAATCATTATGCAGTATTGATGCAAGTAGCTTTTTAATTTCACTATTTAAAGTATTTTCAATTTTGCTTTTAAACTTTTGAAAATTGTTGAAATGAACCCCGACTCCACCCTGGGAACAGTATATCTAATCTAATGTCAATATATATGTTCCTGCTCCACCAAGGGCAAGACAATAAAAGTTAAAAAAAGATATACAACAGCAAAGAAAACTAAAAGACTCAGATTTTAATAAATGAGTATTTCTTAGTCCAAACAATCATATGCCTATTTTTTTTATAAAACCACGTGTAGCACTGTAGATCAAACATTTATTGACTTTGGGTGGTACTTTGTTATAGTCGATATCTATTATATTCTGGCTGATAATTGTAGATAATGTATTGGATTAACTTCATTGCAACAACATTTTTATTTTCAAAAAGAAATAAAGACAATTCAAGAGAACTGCTTACAATGCGTCTGAAGCCAAATGGAGTTTGACGAAAAAAGGAAGTTCAACGTGCTTTGCGTAGGGTTTACATGCGCAAAAGCAAGGTTCGTGATCCGGTTTTGCTAGAAGAACTATGCCGAAAAATATTAAATGGACTTTTAAATGTCACTCAGTTGACAGATTTTAACCATATATTCATTCTGTAAATCTAAAATTACTTTTTTTATTTCTATTGACTTATTTTAATAAAAAAAAAAAGTTTTCATTTCGGTGTTAAGTTATTCAGGAATTTTTGTTTACACGGGATTGCAATCCTTTTATTTATAATGTACTAACCGGAACATGTAGTCTGCAGATTCCCATTGGAAACTGAAAGCTGATTGGAAAAATGTAAATCTTATGGTATTTACAGCTTTAGTCTTTGGTGCTAAATTTAAAGCATTTTTGTACTGGTTACACTTACAGCCAATGCTGTCTAATACCATTTTTTTCTGTATTGCAAACTGAACTCAACTTTAAGAGATTGCTTATTTTTTATTTTTTAAAGATTAATACATCATTACATGATCATTATTACATGCAATAATATAAACGGTATCCGGTCGTTCCGTCCCCAAACCGATCCGGCCCCAAGTAACTCGAATAATTCTGCGCCCTCTAGCGGCCTATAGCCTATCGAGGTACCTAACTCGAATAATTCTGCGCCCTCTAGCGGCCTATAGCCTATCGAGGGCTTGAAGGCATACAGTGCAAATATCTCGTCAGTCGTTCCCTGTAAGAGGGAACCAATCAGTGAACTCAACCTTTCGATTTTGCGCGCTTACAACTTCCTGTAACTTTTAATGCGGGTATTTCAAAACAAACATGGATGCTGACCAATCACTTCAAATAATACAAGATAGATACGACTTTATATTCAAAGAAAAACAACTAGATTCTGTCAAATCCATCCTGAAAAACAAGGATTGTTTCATTGTATTGCCAACTGGATATGGAAAATCCCGCATTTACTTCCATTTACCAGAGCTATTTGAGATGACAACAACGAAGAAATCGTCAATTCTGGTTATATCACCGTTACAAGCCCTCATGTTAGATCAGATGAAAAAGCTTCAAGACATGGGTATAACAGCCACAGTTGTAGGAGAATGTCAAAAAGATAAAGGTTAATATATTGTAATTTCGATTTACTGAGAGGGTTGGCCTTAATTAGTTAGAGAATCCGTCATTAAAAAAAGGGGGAAGGTTGATGTTTTTTTTTATCTCATAAATTAGTCATAATATTTACTAGAATGATATTATATTTAAAAAAATTATGTTGAAATTTTATCATGAATATTGAAACTGAAATTCCAAGTTAACTGATATGCATAATAATTAATATAAATACCTCAATTGGTAAACAAAAGCTCATCATTATTACCAAGACTGGCAAGACTGTCTTTCTCTTTCATATCAGAGTGTTTAAACACAGGGACTCGGTTAGCAGATTAAAATTTTGTTAATCAATGTTTTTTATATTTTTTTTTAGTATTTCCTGTCTATTTGTATTACTTTATTAACATATTTGACGATGACATCGATATTTCTTTATTTTCTAGCAATGTGCAGTTTTCTATCCATATCCGTATACAGAAAAATCTATCGATATTTCTTTGTTTTCTAGCAATGTGCAGTTTTCTATCCATATCTGTATACTGAAAAATCCTAATCTGCTAACCGAGTCCCTGTGTGTTTAAATATATTTATAAAAGATAGTTTTATAAAGCAATATAATAATCTGTAACTTTTCATTCATGTCAATTACTATTTATTTATTTTAATATTTGCAACAGGTCTCAACCATTTCTTGTTAATGATTATAAAAAGATGAGGTATGATTACCAATGAGACAACTCTCGACAAGAGACCAAATGATACAGAAATTAACAACTAGGTCACCATACTGCCTTCAACAATGAGCAAAGCCCATACCGAATAGTCAGCTATAAAAGACCCGAAAATGACAATGTAAAACAATTCAAATGAGAAAACTAACGGCCTAATTAATGTACAAAAAATGAGTTTGTGCAAATAAGATATATTATATAATATGTATTTTTATTGTGTTATTTTTTCATTCTGAAATTTTTTATTTCCCTTATGTGTTGTATGTACATTTTTTGGCTAAAGTTCAAAATTTTTGTTTTACAGGTGTGGCTGATAGAATATCTGCAGGAGATTACTCTATAGTTTTTTCATCCCCTGAGGCTGCACTCCTGCCAGGTTTATGGAGAAGAAGTCTTACAAGTGGAAATTTCAACACTGCTGTAAAAGCTGTAATCATAGATGAGGCCCACTGTATAACTGAATGGTGAGGACAGTTTCTAGTTGCATGTATACACAGTGACACCAGAATTTAATATTTTCAGAATTATTTTCCTCTATTGTTTTTGTCATTTAATTTAAATTGGGGCCATCTTAAAAGTATTAAGGTCCTTAAAAGGCTATTTCAGTACTATTCAAATAAACTCATAGATACATGTACCAGGATTGAAATTTTATATTTACACCAGACGCGCTTTTCGTCTACAAAAGACTCATCAGTGATGCTCGAATCAAAAAATGTTTAAAAAGCCAAATAAAGTACTAGAGATTAACTTTTTTACATCAAATTCTTCAAACAAAAAAAGCTGAAAAGGATTTCTGTGTATTTGAATAAAATGGGATATACAGCTAACTGCCGTTTATTTACTTTCAACTTACTTTTATTTTCTTTTTATCTTAACAATTTTTTATTTCACTATCTATATTTATTGATAATGTTGCCATAACAACCATTATTGTAACATTTACTTCCGTCTTTTGTGGCGGCATAAAAATGAGTTTTATTAATCTTGGCAGGTTAGTAAAAATTGTAAAGATATAGTTTTTGTTTACCTTTATACTTTTTTTTGTGATATGTCATGATCAGAAGTCAGTAGATAATATTTGTAATTGTCCTTTCAGGGGTGCTGAATTCAGACAAGAATATTCCATGCTAGACGAGTTGAGATCTATTTTTCCTGAGAAAACACCATTTGTTGCTCTAACAGCAACTGCAACCAAAGAAATGAAACTTGAAATTCTGAAAAAACTCAACATGGACCAAGACAGGACAGATACAATATGGATGCTTCCTGAAAGACCTAATTTAACGTACGTTGTTAAGAAAACCACTAAGCAAATGAGCGACTTGCAATGGATATTGGATGATATAAAGGTGAAAGAAGGAAAGGCTAAAAAGACCATTGTCTATTGTCGTAACATAAGTTCATGTGCAGCATTATATGAATACTTTTTCTATGAACTTTCAGAAAGTGCAGATGATGTTCACAGTAGACGCATTGCCATGTTTCATCGTTCTACAGCTGAAACAAACAAAGTGCATGTTATGTCTGAATTTCCCAAGATAGATAGCAAAGTACGTGTTGTGTTTGCAACAATTGCATTTGGAATGGGTGTTGACATTGCAGATGTTGAGCAGATTATCCACTGGGGTGCTCCTCGTGGACTAGAACAATTCACTCAGGAGAGTGGTCGAGCAGGTCGAGACGGAAGACATGCATTGTCAGTTGTTTATTATTCAAGTTTTGACATTTCCAAAGGCAGGTGTAAAGAAAGTGTAGTTGATTTTTGCAAGAAAGTGAAATGTTGCAAAGAAATTTTGAGTGACTACTTTAGTCTAGACAATAAGCCACACCGCAGCACAACAAAGACTTGTAAATGTTGCTCATTCTGCAAAGCAAACTGTGAATGTGGGTCTTGTGATAGATTAGACTTTATTCATAATATTGCCTCGACACAGCAACAATATAAATTACAAGATGAAGATGCTGATCTACACAGACATATCAGTGACAATGAAAGCATTCTCCTGAAAGAGAACTTGCTCGATTTTTTGAGTATACTTGAAGATGAGGATGCACCAGGCTGCACATATCTCAACGACTCAGCAATCAATGAAATCGTTCGTAACGCGCCTTATCTTTACTGTGAAGAAGACATAATTTCACTTGGTGTTGGTGATATTGAACTTGCCAGAGAAATACTTTTGTTGATTGAAGAAATTGTCTAATAAAATTTATTAAATATTCCACAATCTCCATTCAATAATGTACCGGTATGTCATTATATAAAAATAAGGTATGACTGCCAATGATTAGACTCTCCACCCGACATCAAATAACATAGAAGTAAACAACTAGAGATCGCTGTAGGGTCTTCAACAATGTGCAAAACCTATACTCCATAGTAAGCTTTTACGGCCCCATAATGACAAATGTAAAACAATACAAACTATAAATTCAGAAAACCTAGCTGCCTGATTTGTATACAACAGAATGAATGAAATTAAAACAAGTTTATATTCAACAACAAACCACAACCACTGAAACTGCAAGCCTTTCCAAAGCAAGAAGTAGAGCTCGGTCATATTCTTCAATGATCTTTTGTTAATACATGTATGTTCTATTGTCTCTGGACCATTAAAAATCCATTAACGAGATCCTGATGCATTGATTTTTGTTTGCTTTATAATGTCCAGTAGCAATATATAGTGTTGCATATTCATGACAATTAATCCCATTTGAGTAATTTTTGTCGAGACTGCGACTTTTGTAGCAGAAAGCTCGACATAGGGATAGTGATCCGGCCGCAGCGTTAGCTTACTTCTTAAAAGCTTTATATTTTAGAAGGTGGAAGATCTGGATGCTTCATACTATGTATATGGATGCCTCATGTTACGAAGTTTCCGTCAGTCACATGTCCAATGTCCTTGACCTCAGTTTCATGGTTCAGTGACTACTTGAAAAAAAAGTTAAGATCTCTTATTATAAGTAATAGGATAACTATATTTGGTATGTGCGTACCTTGCAAGGTCCTTATGCCCGTCAGACAGTTTTCACTTGACCTCGACCTCATTTCATGGATCAGTGAACAAGGTTAAGTTTTGGTGGTCAAGTCCATATCTCAGATACTATAAGCAATAGGTCTAGTATATTCGGTATATGGAAGGACTGTAAGGTGTACATGTCCAACTGGCAGGTGTCATCTGACCTTGACCTCATTTTCATGGTTCAGTGGTTATAGTTAAGTTTTTGTGTTTTGGTCTGTTTTTCTTATACTGTATGTAATAGGTCTACTATATTTGGTGTATGGAAATATTTTATGATCTATATGTCAGTCACACAGGTTTTTTTTACCTTGACCTCATTTCCAAGGTTCATTGCTCAGTGTTAAGTTTTTGTGTTTCGGTCTGTTTTTCTTAAACTATAAGCAATAGGTCAACTATATTTGTTGTATGGAAGAATTGTTAGCTGTCCATGCCTGCCTAGCATGGTTCATCTGACCTTGACCTCATTTTCATGGTTCATTGGTCAATGTTGAGTTTACTTGGTTAATGTTAAGTTTATGTGACAGTTGTAATAAAGCTTTATATTTAGGACTATCAACATAATATCAATGATAAGTAAAGAAGACGAGACATTTCAGCGTGTGCACTCTTGTTATACTTTCTACCTATACCAGCATACTGTTCAGGGGCAACTATTTCATGCATACTTAGGTCAAGTTTAAATTTATAGCATTATTCTTTGTTTTTTGATTTTCTTTGAAATTTCTTGGTGAAACTATATATACAATATTGATTCAGACTTATTTGTCCAGTTAAGTTATCCAATGAGTGCACATGTACATTTACTGGTTCCAGTTTCATTCAATTGGCATGATTGGGACTTTCACGGATTCTGAAACAATTATTTGAATGTGATAAACAATACGTTATGGAGTGTGTAGTATTTTGGTAGCATATAGGACGAAAATTAAATCTTATTTCATTGAGAATTATTCAATAATTTCTTTTCATCTTTGTAACTGTTCTCAATTTTTACTACTAAAAGTAGAGCAATATAGAATGTAGGACAATATAAATATGGTATACTATATTGATGTATGAATGTATAGCATATTTATATTTAAATAAATTGGTTTTTTATTGTTGTACAGTGCAGGTGACATGTTTTTGTTCAAATCCTTGGTCTTTAGACAATAAAGTTGTCTTATTGGAAATCCACACATTCATTCACGTTACTTTTTAATGACTCTCATGTTTTTGGTTTGGTTGTATTGGTAAGTTGCTGTTTCTGTTGTTACACACTCAATAAAACTGATAGACCTGGTATATAAATTTAATACAAGGAAAATTTTTAAAACACAACACACATGAAAATTCACAAGTTAGTTTCAATATTATATAAAAAAGCACTGAAAATGAAATTATATACATGTAGCTACTTTCTGTACAATAAAAATTTATATAATCACAACATTAAAGTACTTTGACAAGTATCAATATTATATAAAACAGCACTGAAAATGATTTTAGATACTTTCTTGAAATTGGTAATTTAATATTTTTGAGCTGGATCAAATTTTTAGAGGTATTAAGTTCACGTGTATATACATGTATGTCATCAGATGAAATTATATCTTCCATAAAAAAAAAAGCACTGCAAGCAAGAAACCATTAAAAGCACTAAATAAATAAGTATTATTAACACAGGTAAAAAATCAACTATATACATTGCCACTTATATTGGAAATAAAATATTTTAAACTAGGCGGCCAAAACTCATCACCTTTGAAGTAAATGGATTTGTAATATAAACACTGATTCATATTTTATATTACTTGACTCTGGTGAAAAATACTTCTGTGTGTCAATTAAAACAATCTATATAAAAATGTACATATATATAAAAATCTATAGTAAATTATAGGTCAAAATAGCCAGTGGAACTTCTTTTTTGGCAAGCATGGAAAATGGACTACTTCATTCATTGTTTATAAGAATCAACAAAAATGTTTAAACAATAATCTATTTGAAATGTCCATTTGTTCTCTATAAATTATGCTTTATTTCTGAATTGAAAAACAAAAAACAAAAATTGCAGCATTGCCTTATTAACTTGTGTGTTAGAGCAAGATGATACAGAAGATGTGAAAAATTTGTTACATCAACACAGCACTGATTATTGCTGTATACCGGTATACATGAGAGTCTGAAAGGGGTACATGTATACATAGGTAATAGGAGAAAGAATGTGCAGAATGAAGGGCTAAATAAATACAAAAATTGAGAAAAAAACAAAATAGAGAATAATGGGATGCTTAAATATAAAGACTAGAGATTTTCATGCCAAATTAATAAAGAATAGAGAAAATGGCTATAAAAATTTAAGAATACAGAACAGAAGGAGCCCTCCCCCATCCACACCCTCATATATACAAAAAGTTATTCTGAGCTTTAGTTTAGCAACAGAACTACATGTAATTGGAACACTGTACATTTCTATTTGGACTCGAATTCAGTGTGAAAATAGAAATTTGTTAAACATATTCAATAAAAAATGACTTTTGCAACAACAGTTGCAAAAAGCATACATGTAAGGTAAAGGTATAAATATCACAATATGAAAATAAACTATTGCACTATTTGTAATGTCATCACAGCACTATATACGGTATGAGCGATTTCTCTGCTGACGAGCACATTCTTCTTTCTTCCCTGTCAACCAACTGAAAAAATTCTTTCCATTAAGTCTACTATTTGGGTCATACTCCATCGTCATGAAGGATCTATGGCTGCGACCGGGTATTCTTTCAAACAGCTTTTCAACTTTAAGACTGTCCACAAGCTTATTTATGTCTTTCTGGATAGAAGGCTTTGAGTTTGCTGGCTTTCCAAAAAACTGTTGCAATCCTTTGGTGTAGCCATCAATAAGGTAGTTGCATCCTTGCAAGCTTCGACCACAACGCTGTATAGCAGTAGATGTAAGGTTACCTCTTAAACCGGTTAAGCCGTCTTTCGCCCTCATATTCATGAATTCTAATGCTAGATCACAAGGAATGTTTCCTCCTGGTCCACCATGAATATTCACAGTACGATTATACTTCAGTTCATGGGCCTTTTTTGGTGGCAATATAGCAAGAAGCTGAGCTTGCAGTTTAAAAGCTAACAGCCTGTACTTTGTATGGTTGGTGTACGAAAACCTTAGCATGTCGAAACGCCACATTCTAACAAGTCTATCTCCGTCATTTTCTTTGGCTGCATCTTCTCGGCACCAATCCATCAGCCCTTCTCGCAACAAACAACAAGAATAATTAAATTTTTTGTCTTCCAGCTTGGTAGTTTTAGTGTCTATATCTGTTTCTTTCTCTTCATTAATATTTTCGATTTGACCAACATTTCCTAAAATTTCCAAATTTTGGTACTGGCATGTTTCTCTGTGTCTCTGGCGGCAACGTCCATCAATGGAAAATGTCTTCGGACAACCCGGAAACCCACAGCTAGTTCTTTTATTGGTGTTATTATCTGCTTCTCCCTCATGTGTAAATTTAAAAGTCTCAGTGGCAACAAACTTATTGACGATGTCACTAGACAATTTCTCTAGAAATGTCTTTTTCTGTTCATTTGTTTTTAAATTTTCAATATGTACATTCAATTCATCTGCACTGTTTATGTTTAAAACCTCAAAGGCAGCTAAAACAGCATAGCCTTGTGTTGCAAATCTAATGAACTCTCTGTCATCATTAACTGCACTTGACACCTGAAACATAAACAAAAATTTATTTGTGTTTTAATTAGAGACAAACAATTCAAAGCACCACAAAGCAAAGACTGATATTCATAAGCCAAGTGAAATATTTATATATAGCTTAATATTATGTGATATGGGTTCTGATCATTGTTGAAGGCTTTATGCTGACTTATAGTTTTTCCAACTATCAAATGCTATATACTTACTAACATCTATGTCATAACAAAATAACAATAACACGTACATGGGTACATATCTGTTTTAATTTGTAACTACCGTAACTGAATGGCAATTTAAGTATTTATTTATAAATAAATTTATGTAGTCATTCCATTATATTTATTGTCATTAAAAAAAATTAATGGCAATAAACATATTTGTATGTATTACTTTTGAATTGCTAGAAATTTCACATCTATGTTAACAATATTTTAAAATATAATGTATACAATATGTACATTTGTACTATTATTTATGGATCAAAACCAATG